CACATTGTGGGGCTGGAGAGATAACTGGGTGATTAAGAGCATCTTAACTGCAGAGGACCTGGTTTGGATCCTTGCACCCACACCAGGTGCCTGTAACTTCAGTTCCATAGCATTTGATGCCCTCTTCTGGCCTCTGTGGGCACCTGCACTCAAGTACCCAACACACACATGTAAAAGTAATAGACACTGAGATGTGAGCATGACCTGCAGGACCATCTGTCACTCTATGATCACCAGAGTTGCCTGAGCTCACTGGCTGGCTATGCAGACATCCCTTTCTCTGTCACCAAACCTTGTGTGTCCATCCCAAAGCTGTACACTCGGTTGAAAAGAATGATCTTCCCTGCTAGAAGAGGACCATTCTTCAGGAAACACACACACACACACACACACACACACACACACACACGTCATAAACACAACTTTTAAAACTTGAAAAAAAAACTGTCACAATATAATACAAGATAACATAATACCCAGCAGAGAGAAAACACTTAATAAGTAGCAGCTGGCATCTTCTAATGTGGCCTACATCAGGCTCCCCAGAGGCAAAGCCGGGGTCCAATATGTTCATTTTCCTGAAGGCTCTAAGCAGTGTTGGCTGAAATGATCTGGGCTTAAGGATGCTTGTAGACGTTCCCAAAGACTCTGTTCGGAGGGGGGGGGGTGGAGGGGAGCCCAGAGTGATACAACAAGGAAACACTGAGACTTCAGTCTCAGCTGGTGAGGGGTGGCAGCCACCAGGGTGATGGCTGACCTCTGCACATGCCTCTCCTCCCTCCAAACCCTAGGAGACCTCACCTCAGCCCTCCCTGCCTCTGCCTGGCTCTTCCCCTTCTTGTCCCCAAGGCACTCCTTTCTGAGAGACGGGGCAACTCCTGACACACAGCCTCCAGAGCCACACTCAAACGCAAGCACCAGGGACACAAAGAACACAAGACAAAACAAGCCAAGGGAGCACCATGTGCTTCTTGCTGCCAGCCACGGGGCTTGGAACTTCTCTCTCCAATTCCTGCTCCCCCGTCTCTGGCCTCGTGTTTCTGAACGTGTCCAAATGCAGTTTATCCCAGCAAACCAAGTTATACAGAAAAACACTTACACTCTTAAACTGACAATGTGATTCAACTCTGTAAAGGGCACTTCAAGTCTAAGAATTACACACGCTTCAAAACGTCTTCAAATATCTACTTAAAGAAAAAAGGATTTGAAGAGCTCCAGCACTCACCAACGCTTTCCTGCTCTAGGTTGACCTTCAAATGTGAAGTCCTGTCCACAAGACAGCGTGGCCCATGGAGAGAGCTTTGGAACTGAGAACGCAGCCACGTGTCCTTTGTGTCAACCGCCATGCCCTCCAGCACCATCACCTCCTTCAGCTGCTGCTGACCTTGAAGGACCAGAGGCCTCGGGTGTGCAGTGATGGAGCAGTTGGTGAAGTGTTCGAAGGGCGAGCGTGAGGACCTGCTTTCCTTTATCAGCACCCACATAAAAGCTGGGCACAGGGTTAGAGAGATGCCTTATCAGTTAAGGGCTCAAACTACTCTCTCAGAGGACTGGATTTGGTTCCCAGCACCCACATCGAGTGACTCAAAGCTGCCTGCAACACCAGCTGCAGGGGGATCTGAGGCTGCTGGCCTCTGTGGACACCTGCACATATATGCACATACATACACACACATAAATTTTGTTTTTTATTTGCTTTTTTGTTACAGGGCTTCTCTGTGTAGTCCTGAAACTAACTCTGTAGACCAGGCTGGCCTCAAACTCACAGAGATCCACCTGCCTGTCTCCCGAGTGCAGGGGTTAAAGGCATGAGCCACCACACCTGGCAACACATAATTTTTTTTAGCTTGGCATAGTGATGTGCCCTGAGGTGACAGAGACAGAGCTCCCTGACCAGCCAGCCTAGCCAGATTGGTGAACTCCAGGCCAGTAAAAGATCCTGTCTCAAAAAAAAAAAAAAAAAAAAAAAAAAAAAACAAGGAAGATAGCTCCTGAGGCAAAACACCTATGATTGTCTGCTGTCCTCTGTAGGAATGCACACAGAGACACACGTGCATGCACACATGCACACGGTGTGGGGGAGGGGCGAGAGCGGCTGGCACCTCTGCAGAATGGCATTCCTCAGGGACAGCTGTCTGGGCAGCTTCAAGGCCCAGCTTCTCCAGTCCACAATTGGACTTAGTCCCTGAAGAACTCTTAGCAAATGCCCGATTGACTTCTGAGGAGACCGCCACCGGGAAATGGTGTCAGTGGCTCCAGGAGCACAGGAGTCCAGGCAGCATCCGACCAGGGCCTGTCATGGTGCTCTCCAATCCAGAGGTACACCCGACTCAAGGCAGAGCAAAGCGCTGGTCTCCATTTCAGAAGAGGTCCTGTGGGCTGACTAGAATGGACAGCCAGCAGTCTGGGTTAAGAGTCCTGTCAGCCACTTAGTAGGAGTCTGAATCCATTCAGGCTGCTACAACAGAAAGCTTTGGGCTGGTAATTTATAAACAGTTTATTGCTTGCAATTCTGTAATCTAGAAAGTCCAATGGCAAGGTGGCAGCAGAGTCAGGTGACAGCAGAATTAGAGTCTTATGGGAGCTCATTTCCTGCTCCGGAGATGGTGTGTTCTTGCTTCTAGATCCTCACAGGACTGAAGGAGACAGATGGGCTCCATGGAACGCTCTAGAAGCACAAAGCCCGCCCCTGGGGTTCTATGCTCATGACATAATTATCTCCTAACAGCCAATCACTTTGAGATGGTGGGGGTGAAAGGATCACTCACTGACTTTTAGACCACAGCATCTGGTGAACTGAGGTCCAAGAGCTTAAGGACAGATGTTTACATCATAGGAACCCAATGCAGTGTTGTCAAAAGACACAGATAAGGGTCCAGGGAGATGGCTTAGATGCAAGGCCCAAAATCGATCCCAGGGAGGCAGATAAAAAGCCAGATGTGAGCCTGGCATGGTGACACTAACCTTTAATCCCAGTGCTCAGGAGGCAGAGGCAAGAAGAGCTTTATGAGTTTGAGACCAGCCTGGTCTACATAGTAAGTTCCAGGACACCAGGGCTACATAGTGAGACTTTGTCTCAAAACAAATAAACAACAAAAACCCAGATGTGGGTGTACACAACTGTAATGGCAACACTCCCGTGGGAAGAGGGGAAACTGAGGCAGGGAGATCATCTGGAAGCTCACACGCCAGTCTGCCTGGAGTATTCAGCAGAGCAGCAGATACAGAGAGACCCTGCCTCAGCAAGGTAAGAAGTGGAAAATGACTCCTTAAAAGTGTCTTGTGACCTCCACAAGTTCACCATGGCATGTGTATGCCTGCACACACACACACAGAGTGGGAAGGGGGTGTTAAATAACGAATGAATGAACGAATAAATGCAAGAGTGGTAGATTTTTAAAGAGAGATGGTACTGTGCACAGCATGTATATAATGGTCCTAGATCATCCTCATCTTGCATTGTCCCCTCTCCCTTTTTTTTTTGAGACACAATATATCCCTGGCTGTCCTGGAACTTGCTATGTAGACCAGGCTAGCCTCAAACTCACAGAGATCCACCTGCCTCTATCCACCAAGTACCGGAGTTAAAGACGTGCGTCACCACGCACCCAGCTTCTGTCTAGCATTCAAGCCCTGCTTTTCCCACTAGCCAGCTGAGTCTGGAGTTAGTTACCTGCCTTCTCTGGGCCTTAGAATCCTGTCTGTAAAAAGGTGTGGTGATAACTCTAGTGTCTCACTGCACGTATCCGCAAGGATACAACACAAGGAATCCACAGAATAGCTGCTCGGCAATGTCGCAGTTATGGTCATCCCATGATTCCAGAACGAACTCCCTTGGACCAGTGTCTAAGGCCACACGGCCCCATCAGCACGTGATCCACCCCCATTGCTGAGATAGGTTGCCCGGTTCACTCCAGCTGACACACACCTTGAGAAATTCACACTGGGAATAATGCTGTTTGTAGATTGTTTTTCTAGCATGCACGAAGGGCTGGGTTCCATCCCCAGAGCTGCACAAAACCAGGTGTGCTGCCACACGCCTGTGACGCCACCACTTAGGAGGCAGAGCCAGAACACGACAGGAGAGGGAGTTCAAGGTCAACGCCAGCTATGTGAGAGTCCATCTCGAAATAAAAATTAGGAGAGAAATTCATGCTGGACTCCCACTGGCCTCTCGGAATCCTGCCCAAGACCCCATGTCTCAGCAGGTCCCTGGTCTGTGTCTTTACCCCACTCGTTTCCAGTGTGGAGAGCGAGAATGCTGGCCAGGACCCCATACACCTACACAGTTCTCCAGTTCCTAGAAAGGGGGGGTCCCACAAGGCCGGGCAGTAATGAGATGGAAGATTTGGACTAATCCTGACCCAAATGAGGCCCTAATTCCTGCTGTAAACATCTGTCAGCTGCCAGTTAACAGTTCCTGCAGCCGGAGCTGGGGGCTGGGGAGTGGCCTCGGCACTGCAGAAGCCATCCGGCCTGTACCTAGGGTGTTGTTTTTCTGCCTCGTCCTCGCTTTTTCTGTTTTTGGAATGTGGATATAAACTTTATAGAGGGGCCTGGGCTCTGTTCACACCGGGTGCTAATAACCCACAGCTGAAAGCAGAGGGTGCGGAGGAAAGTGGGGAGCGTGGGGCCCCGAAGGCTGCAGTCACAGGGATGGAGGCACTGAGCGAGGGGACCAGGAGGATATTTAATATTGAATTTGCTTCTTTTTTTTTAATGTGGAAAGTTTTAGACACAAACCGGCCCCTGTGTTTAAGTCATTAAAACATCTTTAAGCATTTCTGGTTTGAGTTTGTTCTACAGCCCTCCCGGTTCCTGGAACATATTTTATTTTTCTTTTAAGTCGGTAAAAGCAGAGGGGGAGGGGTGGGGCAGCAAGGGGCTGCATTTCCAACAGATTTTGTTGCTGCTTGAGTGCACAGGAAAGCACAAGTCTCCTGGTGCCTGGTGGTCAAGTCCCGGGAACTCAGATCTGGCCTGTGAGGACCCATGCACTTGCTGACACCATGTACTTTCTGTCAGGGGGCCAACGGGGCACTCAGTACTCACTATGGCGAGGAAGGAGGATGCACAGCCTGGGAGCAGGCTGGCCTGTGCAGAGTCCCAGTAAAAGGGCCTCAAACCTGCTCTGTCCACACTCACTGCAAAGCCCTGACAGCTAATGTCAACTGCTCCCACCTCACATCCAAGCTGAGTGTTTGCCTAGGCATGGCCAATGACTAACACAACCAACCCAGGACCAGAAAACACAGAGAGGATGCTAGGGCCCGAGGGGATCCCTGCCATGCCTCCACTCGGAGCACTTGGTGCCTGCATCCTTGACTTTGTCAAGACCAAGCCCCTAGCCACACAGTAGCAACATCTGGAATCTTGAAGGAGGAAGCTTAGACTCTGGGTTCTTGGGTCCTGATGGTTGAGTCAGGACTGACAAGAGACATAGCCAGGAATGGCTGCCTGATGTCCCTGCAGAAGCTGGGCTTTCAGAGGAGACACCAGGCCTGGAGCATGGCTGAGACTTAAATGGGCCAAGACTAGAAAGTAGGACAGCCACCTTTGGGCTCCTTGCAGCCAGAGGATGGGCACCCCTCCCAGGAAGCAGTGGGGTGTCCAGGAAATGTGGGCTTGGGATGATGTCAAGAGGACCTTATCCACCCCATCCCAGCTGCAGCCCCAGCTCTTCAGGGAAGTCCTAGACCTACTGAGGCTGTTTGAACAGTGGGGAGGACCCCACATCTTAGGTGGGGGTGTGGGGAAGTAAAGGGAACATGCAGTTTCCCAGTTATTTATCACAATGTGGGGAAAAGAGGATGGAGATGCGCCTAAGAGATGATTGTCAGGTTGACAGGCTGGAGGGGATGATGGGACTCTCGGGAGCTTTGCTCTCTGTGTTGAGAAGGACAGAGTCGCTTTAAGAAAACATGGTCTGCTGGCTGCGTGCCTTTAATCTAGCACTCAGGAGGCAGAGGCGGATGGAACTCTGAATTCAAAGCCATCTTCGTCTACATAGTATGACCCTGTCTCAAAAAAATAATAATATTAATTAAAAAGGAAACAGTCTGAGAAAGCTCCTTTCCAAGTGACCCCCCCTTTCCTCCAGTCAGGCTGGGGACAGCAGGACAGCCTGGTGGCCTATCACTCCCATCACAGCCCTCTGCAGCTTCTAGGCTGGACCAGGTGCTGGCAGCCACAGGATGGAGAAGGTGTTGAGGCAAAGCCGGCTGGTAGTAAGCTGGGGGCAGAAGAACAAGCGAGCTGCCCTTACAGGACCTAAGCTAGCTTGCGGAAGAACTAACCAGGACAGGAAAACCAGACTCCATGCCTCCCGACCTGCTGGGCACCTTGGCAACCGCGTAGACACACGCTGTACGCATCTCCAGGAGCTTTCTCTAGCCAGGATCCTTGCATTGTGGTCAGCATGCCAGCACACTCTTGAAAGATGTGTTGTTAAGCACGCCTCCCTTGGCGGGGAGGGGAGTGACCTGTGTTTAGTCTACTTCAGGGAATTCCATCCCTCACAGGACCCTGGGGTAGCTCCCCAGCGCCATTAGGGGTAGAAAGGATGTCACCTCTCCCTGTGGGTAGATAGGATGAACTTGACTGCTCTGAAGTGCACAGAGGGTGCCCTGCACCAGATGGGAGACCCTGGCGCTGCTTCCCAGAAGGACCACACACACCCTGAAGGGCAGCATTACCCGCTGTGTGCCCTGCCCAGCAGAACTGTCTAGGGCCCAGGAGACGCAAATAGCTCTGTCTAGTGGACACGGTTCTATGCTGCAAGCCAGCCAGGCCGTGGCAGTAATTTGGCTCTGAAAATTGGTGCCACAGGAACAGCTGAGAGCTGGCAAGGCTGGTGGCCCTATGGGTCAGCATCTGTCAGTCCATTTAGATATGCAAAGCCTAGGCACCAGTGCAGCCACCATACTCTAATTGGTGTCAACTGTTTGAATGCCATAATTGCTACTGTCTTGGGAGGTGGCATCCAGGTCTGGGTGGCATGGATCCTGCAGCTCTTCCCTCGAGGGTCTTCTAGGCCATGGACTCCCGGCTCCTCCACTCCTTTCTTTCCCTGTGAAAAAGGGAGGAATATAAGGACTCAGAAGGCCCTTCCCCCATGCATCTTAGGAAAGGACCTGGCAGGCTCAGGCCTGCGGGTCTTCACCCACAGCCCCAGTATCTCCCCCATAATTAGACTCACACTCGAAATTACCTTCACAGTCCTTATCTCGGCTGATCTTCACTATAGCCGGTGAAGTCCATATTATTAAACCCTCCTTTACAGATTAAAAAAAAAAATTTTTAAATGAGTTTGGGGGTGGGGTGCAATTCTATCTAGTATCTGGTGAGAGACAGCCGGAAAGAAAAGCTACAACCTGGTTCCCTCAAGCCTGCAGCAGGTGGGAACTGGTCATATGCACTAGACACCCTGAGTGTGAGATGCCCGTGACCTTGGAGGTGGTCATTTGGGATTAGCCATGCATGCTATCAAGTCTTAAAGCTTTGGAGAGAGAGGGTGGGCACTCCGGGCCCCTAGAGCAGAGTCTTTGCTGCAGGGTGGTCCTGTGACTCAGAGGACATGCAACCCTGACTTCCACCCGCCCGCTGCTAATATCTCCACCCAGCCCTTCCCCAGACGCAAATGCCAAAGTGTCTCCAGGAATTGCAAACGTCCTTGGGAAGGAAGCAGACAGCTGAGAGCTCCTGGTTCAATGGATCGGGGAAGAGCCGCGCTAGACAAGGGCTGCACCCTTGAGTCCGGCAGAAGAGATGCTACAAGCAGAGATGAGGAAGTCGGGGGGGTCCAGAGATGGTTCAGCAACCAAGAGTGCTGCTGCCCTGCAGAGGACCTGAGAGTGGCTCCCAGCATCCACTGGGGCAGCTCACAGCCCCCCACAACTCCAGCTTCAGGGTATCCAACCTCCAGGGGCACCCGCACTCACACTCACATACCCACACAAAGACACACACACTCCTAATTAAAAAAAGCACTTGGGAGGCAGGGGCAGGTGGTGGATCTCAGTGAGTTCGAGGCCAGCTTGGTCTACAAAGTGAGTTCCAGGACAGCCAAGGCTGTTACACAGAGAAACACTGTCTCAAAAATATATATTTTTAATTTAAAAAAAATAAGGAAGTTAGCCATGTTTAGTGATGTACAATTTTAATCTCAGCACTGGGGAGGCAGAGGAAGGTGAATCTCTGTGAATTTGAGGCCAGCCTGGTCTACGTAGCCAGTACAAGGCCAGCCAGTGCTACATAGTGAGAACTTGCCTTAAATTAAATAAATGTCCATCTGCCTTTTTATCAATACTATACACCAGGACACTTAGATCAGTGATAAAAGTTTATACCTGAAAAATTCAACAAAAACTTTACATTTTAAAAGATTTTTCAATTTTTATGATGTGTGTAAGTGTTTTACCCAGATGGATGTAAGAGGAACTGGAGGTAGAGATGGCCGTGAGTCACCCTGTGGCGCTGGGAACTGAACCTGGGTCCTCTGCAGGAGCAGCAATGCTCTTCACTGCTGAGCCATCTCTCCAGCTCCAGCTTCCCGTTCTAAAACGGCCTCTCTTACGCTCTGCTCTAAGCCATTATTGCGGTTACTGTCTGGTCCGACACGCAGTGTGCGCCCTTCAGTTGCATGTCCCAGGTTGAAGAGAACACCCCACCTGATCCCGAGATCCATCTGAAGAATCCTCACGTACTCACCATCTTGGGTGGACTCCAGCCAGGCTCCAGAAAGGAGGCTTGTTAGGAGTCCCAGAGCGTGGAGCTGCGTTAGTTAGCTTGTGTCCACTTTTGTATCCCACAGGCTGCAAACAGCAGATTCAAAACTAAACAAATGACCCGTCTGCAAAGACAAAGTAACAGACCGAGGCCCCAAGTCAGTCTCTGCACCGCACAGCTTCTAAAACATAAGAGTTCACTGCCCAGCATTCCTTCCCCAGGTCCCTGCCCCATGCCACCTCTGCAATTACAGTCTTTCTGACATCAATTGCTCTTTTTTCTTTCTCTTTCCTTTTTATTATTTATTTGTTTTGAGACAGGCTCTCACTATGTATCTCTGACTGTCCTGGAACTCCCCCCATGTAAAACAGGCTGGCCTTGAACTCACAGATATCCACCGGCCTCTGCCTCCCAACCGCTGGGATTAAAGGCGCGCGCCACCACCCCTGGCCAGCCAGTTACTTCTGACTTGCTCTTTTACCCATTAGTGCCCAGTTGAGTGTTTACTATTACAATTACAGAGTTAACTGCATTTTTTTTCTGGCCACCAGTATTATTTAGCTGTCATATATTCCCATTTTACCGCAGTGGACTGTAAAAAATGGCCCCTTTTGAGATATCTAATGCATTAGAGACCTTTTTGGTCTGGAAATGGAATGCCAGGTACAGGATGTTCCAGAGACCACCCCTGTCCAGATCTCTGGCTGCCCAACACCCAAGGGCCATCAGACTACCCAGTGGTCGGCAAGGACTGGTGCTCCAGCCTTCTTCTCAGCCAGGTCCCTTCTAGACCAGCTCTACCCACTGCCTCTCCCCAGCTGTCCTTCCCTGTCACAGTGAGTCATTGTTAGAACAGGGAAAGGAAAACTCAGAGTGACCAAGGTGTCACCTCAGGGCTGTTGTGCTTAACAGAGGTCACAGCCTCTTAACAGGACCTCAGAAGCAATCTGTGAGAGACAGGTCTCCACCAAAGGTCGCCCAGCTAGCTTGTGGGTCATGGTGGAAGTTGAACTCAGCATTCTTGACCTCCGAAAACATTTAGCATAACCTAATGAAGATCGCCTCTTGGTGGAATATTTTTCATCACGGGCTGGTCCTCGTGGATGTCCCTTCTGGCCAGGAGGGCTATGTGGAGCCCCCACTGGTCCTAGAGTAGCTAACCCCTACCCTATCCCACCCACCCCAGCCCGACCCCACCCCAGCCCCACCCCTGCTCTGGACTGCTGGTGGAGATTTTTCTCAGTACATAGTGAAGAGCCGATGGATGGCTGTTTTGGTTTGGTTTATTCCTATTTGGTTTTTTGTTTGTTTGCTTGCTTGTTTTTTAATCAGAGTTTCTCTGTGAAACAGCCTTGGCTGTCCTGGAATTCTCTTTGTAGACCAGGCTGGCCTCGAACTCACCACCCGCCTCTGCCTCCTGTGTGCTGGGATTAAAGGTGTGCCTCACCATGCTCCGCCCTGTGTTTGTTTTGAGGCACCATCTTTGTATAGCCCAAGCTGGCCTGGAACTCCCTGTCCCACCTCAAGCCCATTATGACACTTTTAAAAACACCACTCACTCATCAGACAGGTACTATGGTCGGCCCCTCCTGCGGGGATGACTTGTGCCAGAGATGGCAGTACAGAAATGTCAGGGTTACTGCCTTCGAGAGAAAGCAAGTAAGCCTTGACGACAAGGTTGGAGGCTTTAACATGGAAGCAGAGTTCCTGCTGTGAGCTGCAGTGGTCCAGGAGGGCTTCCCAGAGGAGGTGGGACTGATGCAGGAGGACAGCAGACAGCAGGCGGGGGGGGGGGGGTTGTCAGTGCAGATGAATACTTCAGAAGAGGGTGCCAGTCCTTTCCCCACCAAAATCAAGCTCAGAACACCAAGCAACTTAGTATCTTTCTCCTTCTACAGGGTCTCACTACGTGGCCCAGGTGGTGTCCAACTCCGATGCGCCGCCGCCATCATCCCTAGTGCTGGGATGAGAGGTGTGTGCGTTTCCTACCGTGGCTTTCCTGATGCCAACAGGTCTGAACGCCTCGGCATGGTTGTGTTCTGCTTCTCTATTAAGTCCCCAGGGTCCCAGCTCCCTTAATCGCTTCCTGTCCCTCCCGCAGTCCAGCATAGCGCGGAGCCCTGAACTCAAGCCTTCTTCTTCCTCTCCATCTCTCTCCCCTTTGTGTTCCTTCCTCCTTCCGCCCCAGCTTTGTTACTGTCTTTCTCCTTCTCCGGCTAGATAGGGAGGGAATCCTCCAGACCAGCACGCAGGTGATCTGCAGTCCAGAGACCCCTGACTTTCCCTGGAGAGCCCAGGTTAGCTCCCAGCCAGGCCCTCGGCCTGGAGTCTTCATGGTGGAAAGATTTGCTGTGACATGGAGACACTGCCCTCTCCTTCGGGGACCAAGGAGGAAAATCTGGGGACCCTTCGAGGTAGAGAGACCTTCAGCTCTCAGCACCTGTGAGGTCTAGTTGTAAGAAGTTCCCTCCCCCACCACCTCCCAGTTCTGCTGCTGAGACGGCTCTGCTCCCATTTCAACCAGCACCAGATCCATTTATAGCATCAATTTTATTTGCTCCAGCCCCAGCTCCCTCCCGGCTCCCCAGGGGCACCCGATCCAGAATGCCAGGCCCTGCTTCCTCTTCTCCTGGAACACGCTGACTCCCTCCCTTGGGCGCTGGGGGAGTCGGCAGGATAATAACCTTCGAGAGGAAAACTCTCTTCCCCCTGCCTTCTAATCTGCAGCGCTACCAAATTAGAAAAGGCATCAGAAGCCCATCGGGCAGACTGCCTCAGGGATGTCATGCCATTAACCCTGGGCCGCCTCCTGCTGGCGCAGGCAGCCAGAGGGTGTGTCAGACCTGCCAGACCTTCCCAGCCCCCTCCATACCTCAGCCTCTCTTCTCCATCCTTCAGCCTCATTCTCATCTCCCCAGCCATTTCCACACCCTGTCCATCACATGATCCCAGGGCCCTGGGCTCCAAGCAGAGCCTGGATCCGGAGGGCATTTGCCACCCTGCGGCTCCTGTAGAGCCTGATCTGGACAGACATACCCACACATGT